TATGATTTTATTATGTAATTGCTTTTGTTAATTTATTTTTTACTAATTTTGCTTATTTTTTCAATAAAGTTCAAATTAAATGTAATATTTTTTTTTGTCCAATACTTGTCATGTATTATTTTGTTATCTTTTTTATCTCTAACTAGATCTCTTATGTTATACTTTATTTTTATTTTGTATATGTGATTATGAATCAGCCTATATGTTTGCAAATGTAAACGCTTTCTCCCGCGCATGTGCATTTGTCTTTTTTGTAAAAGCGGCACATTTTTTTTGGATCTTCTGCGGACGAATCTGGAGTTTATTTTTGCTGATCATATTATCAATACATTCTTTATCTAGATTGGTATTTTTGCGCCTGTGACTTCGTCGTCGACCACGTTCGGATGGATGACGGCTCAGATCACTTGATTCCGCAGAATACTTCTGACTTGTATCTGCTCTCTCTGGTTTCCGATTCTGTCTCCCTGCCTCCCTGTCATCAGCGATGACATCTCTCGGCAGGCATTATTGATATTATCTTGTTGATATATAATTGTATCATTATCAAATTACTTTTTAAAAAAAAGTAAAAAAAGTATAGTGGAAGCTTGAAAAAAAAGAAACTGTTGTATCAAGTTAAAAAATAGAACCTTATCTTTTATTTTAAAGAAATGGAATCTAAGTGGTACGTATCTCTGTATCTTCATTGAAGAATCTTTTTACTCTAACCTATGTGATAGTAGTTTTAATTCTTTAAAAAAAATTATATTACGAAATTGCTATATCTAACTCAATTCTAGTTGTGATCAAACTAAAAAATAAAACTTTAGTGCTAGTATCTTTGTGATCTTTGTATTCATTGAAGGATCTTCTAACCTGAATGGTACTAACTTTAATTAAAAAACAAAAAAAAATTTGTTTCTATATTGCCAACTCAACTCAAATGATATCATTTGTATAAAAGATTTGGTATCAATAATAGGCGCCAAGTTATAATCCTATTATAAAAATTGTGTTATTTTATTAAACTCAAGTGATACGTATTAAAAAATAAAATCTAACTGACAATATCTTTTATTTTAAGAAAATAGGACCTAAGTGATACGTATCTTCATTAAAGAGTTTTTTTATTCTAACCCACGTAGTAGTAGTCTTAATTTTAAAAAAAATTTGAATTTTGAATGAAGAATATTCCTATTTTGACTCAAATGATACTAGCCTTAACTCTTTAAAAAAGAAAATTTTGTTTCCACATTGCCAATTCAAATGACCATAATAATATATAAAAGATTTGATATCAATAATTGCCAAGTTATAGTCCTATAAACATTGAGCTACAAGTCCACCTTAGTCAAATTGTATTTATTATGTATTATTGTATAGTATATAAAAGATTTGATGTACCACTATTTAAAAAAATAAAACTCAAGTAATAGTATCTTTAATTTAAAAATAATAAAACCAAATTATATATATATATATAATCTTTCTATCTATTCAAGAAAATAGGAAGATTAAGACTATTACCAGGGTTAGAATAAAAAGACTCTTCAATGAAGATATGTAGGTTTTTAAAATAAAAGATTCTTTTCTTAAAATAAAAAATATTTCTTAAAATAAAAGATATTGTCAGTTAGATTTTATTTTTTAATACATATCACTTGAGTTTAGTAAAATAACGCAATTTTTATAGTATAGGATTATAACTTGGTACCAGTTATTGATATTAAATCTTTTATACTCTTTTATAAATGATATCATTTGAGTCGAGTTGGCAATGTAGAAACAAATTTTTTTGTTTTTAATTAAAGCTAGTATCATTCGGGTTAGAAGACCCTTCAATGAATACAAAGATCACAAAGATACTAGCACTTAGGTTTTATTTTTTAGTTTGATCACAATTAGAATTGAGTTAAATATAACAATTTCGTAACATAATTTTTTTTAAAGAATTACAACTACTACTACATAGGTTAGAGTAAAAAAATTCTTCAATGAAGATACATACCTCTTAGATTCCATTTCTTTAAAATAAAAGATATTGTCACTTAGGTTTCTACTTTTTAACTTGGTATAATAGTTTCTTTTTTTTTCAAGCGTCCACTATACTTGACATCTTTTTTTTTAAAAAGATAATTTGATAGTGATATCAGACATTTTGTAGTATTAACCATCTTTCTGTGTTCGAAAAGCATGTATATAATTGATACCTTTTATACTTGACATTTTTTTTATAATACGCAACGAGAGTAAATAGGATAGAGAACTAACGAAAGAGCGAGATAGCATATTTGCTCCTTTTCCACGAGACCGATTGGCGATCGACGATGTCATTAAGTTTCGCGGCGAGTTTGATAATTGATCATAGCTCGTTTCGGAATGTGAGTGACCATCTTTCTATATTCGAAAAACGCGTCTTGACACTTTTATACTTGACATTTTTTTAAATGTATATACTAAATGTAGCGTATTTTTATTATATTTTTTTATTTTTTAAAAAAGATAATTTTGTCAGATACTATTTCTTTCCTTAATAACATTATAAATATTATTAATAATACAATATATTTCTTATCACATGATTTGACATCCGTATCTCCTGATTTCTTGTACTTTTATTAATACATTACATTAAAAAGATCATTCTGTTTCGTTAATAATTATTAAACATATTTTTTTGATAAATTAATTAAATTATCATAACTGTATTAAAAACTCGAAAGCAATATTATTAAAAAATTTTAACAAATACATAATAAATATATACATGTAATAAATAAAATAATGTACATAAATATGTATCTAAATAAAAATATTATATATTATATCAATTTTTTACTAGTTTAAAATGACACTATTTATATTGTTTCTTATTTTAGAACTTGCAAAATAACACAAACATGAGTCACTTACACTGCAAAACAAATTATCACCAACTGTCAATAAAACCGTCAAACTCGCGAAACTCAACGACATCGTTGACCGCCAATCAGATGCGCGGAAAAAGAGCAACAAGCATCCTATCTCGCTCATTCTTTCTACTTTCTCTCATTATGTGTATATTTATTAATAATCAGTTAATCAGAATCGTGACATAAGAAGCAGAGACCGTAATTAGAGATTACGAAATATATGTTTACATAGATATAAAAATCGATACGAATGAACAATATAATGATAAAGATATAATATGTGTGCATTTATATAATGTATACATTTCTTTTTAAATTAGAGAAAGAGAAAAGAAAGATGGAACAAATAAAAAGAATTAATGTATTTATTAGATATATTGCTGTCCGTAATGTGTCCGTTTCGATGCACGCGTATTTATTACATTATTAAACTTATCGACCCTACGGAAGTCAGAGTCACTGCAGGTCCCAGCGAACA